TACTCTAAATACCAGACGTTGAATATCGAAAATTTCGGTTACAAACTAGATGAAAATGGTGCAGTATTACCCATATTTATGTTTAATAATACCTGATCGATTGATGTAAATGTTTGAAAACATGTAAAACTAAAGCATGTAGTTGTAGAAAAAATAATGTTACTTGTGTTACTTTATGTGGTTGTAATGCAGACGAATGTGAAAATTTTATCCTTAAATAAATATATTTATAAGTTTAAGACATTTTACTCTTTATTTTTTATTTATTTTAAAATATATGTCGAGATATATGAAAAAGTGGGGCGCTGACGGGGTCGGCGCACAGTGGAGTGCCCGAGCGGCGCGGCTCGCAAGTCAAAATGTATATTGTTAATAGGTAAAATAATACGCATTGCAATGTAATTACACCGAATCAGTCCTCCGTATTTTGTCAGGGTGATGATGTTTAAAGATTACTTTTAAATTTTAGTAACATCAAAAACTTGATTTTTTGTTATTGTTTTTGAATCTTGAAAATGACCGTTTTTGTATTTTTTCGTACTTTAAATTGTTTATAACTCGGAAACCGTTGATTTTAGGGGCATAGTGCATAGGAACTATTTTATTTAGAATACCCCAAAATACCTAAATAAACTTCTCACGGAGGTGATTATGCAAAAAAATCGAATCCACTAATTTTTTCATACGAAGCCGCCGATTTCGCCTTGTCTATTTAGATACATGTAGAAAAATAGTCAATGATTTTAGTGGAAATGAATGATGCTTTGTATATTTTATACATCTTGCATATGTTTTTCTACTGGCAATTTGCAAAGATGAACTGTTAGATTAAGTTACCTACTAAATGAATTACTGATTTAAATGGTAAATACCTAATTATTCTCATAGTCAATAAAAATATTAATGAATCAAATATCTGCCATTTGACAGGTGCATATTGTTATAAAACAAAATCAGTGGCGAATTTAATCAATAATAACGCGCTTAACTTTATTTAATTCTTGGCAAAACCATAAACGCTATACCGAATATCGCTTGTTTCGCCCCACTAATAATTTATGTAGTTTCGTCCCAGTAATAATCTGACACTGCACCGGGAGGAATATTCCGGATAAGCTTTTAAACATCATCTGTTTTGCATCGAATTTGATTTATTTTTCAGAATTTGTATAAACTGCCTATAAAATCAGAATGTCATTTTATGATAGTTGTGAAAAAAGTGAATATAACAAACAACTTTTAAAATATTTACATGGCACTAAACAGTCTTCGTCAGTGAAATAAGTAATTAGGACATAGGTATGGTCCTAGAAAATTAGGAAAAAATTATACTTTTAGTAAATCGGAATTCAGAATAATTATGGATGTTTTTCGTATAAATTGTGGTTATTTAATTTCTGTACATTTGAACAGAAAACTGGCAGTAGTTTATTTATATTTTGGGTATAATGCTAATCTTCGCCTATTTACAGCTGCCATTCATGAATAAAATTTATGAACTTATTGAATAAATTAACTACCGGCTCATTTCTTTCATGCGTAAAAGCATTTCAATAAATTTTGAAACGATATTCTGGAACTACTATAAATACAAAACTGAAATTAAGAACGTTGTTGATGTACCTATATCAAATATAATTTCTGATTAATTGGATTGAGCATTAGGGATTAAAAGTACCTACATTATCTTCATAGGGGGACTGAAAGAGTTACAAACAGGTTATGTTTAGCCTAAACCATTATTTAAATATTATATTTCCAGTTATTGTATTATCTATATTGGTATTTTCTTTTTTTTTTTCAGGTTTTTTAAGCATCATCCGGAGTACAAACTAACGTTCCCGTTCAGAGATATATCCGATGAAGATTTACCCACAAATAAAAGGTTCCACGCTCACGCAAATAGTGTCATCTACGCCTTCTCCTCTGTTGTAGATGCCATAGACGACCCTGATATGCTGGTAACAATTTTATCAAGAGTGGGAGAATCACATGGACCGAGAAAGATAACGGAAAAGTCTTTCTTCGTAAGTGTCGATTTATACTGGTATTTAATATGCAAGGAAGTGGTATACTTTCTTTTTTATGATTTATAGATCGTCACGACAAGGAAATACATTGTACGCGGGGGCGCAAATGGCTCCATCTGTGGTGCTGACTTCCAACTGTGTCATTCAAATGGCTACAGTAGGAAGGTGTTGCGAGTATAATTCAATGCCGGTAGGGGCATATAGCCCGCGGAGTAGTTGTTTCTCGCAACACTGACAATTAAAACATTGTTTTCGTCCTCTGTGGGTAGCAGTCGTGCAACAAGTACCTGCAATATAGCAGGGCGCTTCCTACTGTAGCCATTTGAATGGCACAGTTGGGAGTCAGCACGACAGATGGAGCCATTTACGCTCCCGCGTACAATGTATTTCCTTGTCGTGACGATACGACGCAAAACAGCTGGATCGTTCGTCGGTTGTCTCACCTATGACACACTGATGAGGACTAATAAGTCCGAAACCGGTCTGTGCATGGTGGGTTAAACAGGCGAACGATCCTAGCTGTTGCAGTAGTTGTTGCGAGTATAATTCAATGCCGGTAGGGGTATATAGCCCTCGGAGTAGTTTTTTCTCGCAACACTGACAATTAAAAAAAATATTTAAATTATTTTTTCGATTTAACGCACCGTTTCCGAGTTATATGACCTTTTTACTATATGACATAACACACCTCTTGTTTCCAAAATTTATTTTCGACATACTTCGGACAATTTGCATTCACCGCAGAACGAACAATCAGAACCACTGGAGTCGGGGAGATTTTTTAAATTATTTTTTCGATTCAACGCACCGTTTCCGAGTTATAAGATCTTTTTTACTGTATCACCTCACACACCTCTTGTTTCCGAAATTTAATTTCAACATACGGACTTCGGACCTTTTGCATTTAACGCATAAGGGACAATTAGAACCAGGAGTGTGTTGGAGATCTTTAAAATTCTGCTGGTGGCATACTCTATCGGCAATTCGGAAATTTAAAACTGCTGTCCTATTCTAGTAGCGGCCTGGGACGAAGCTATATTATAATATGTGGTTCAATCCACTTTCATAACTGAGGATCTTTTGAAAACCTGTAGAAATTAATAGATTCGCCAGTTTCTTTTCCCCACTTTATGTTACTCTTGTAAGTATTCGTATAAATTCGTATAAATTGTGCCTCCAGAATTATGACCCGAAATATTTTAGGTAAAAGTTTGTGAATTCTATACCTACTTAAAGAACAAGAACAAACAGTAAAAAAAACAAGAACAGTGCTTGATATGGCACTGGGAAACTCCAAAAATACAGACCAAAACTTACATGTTGTAAATTTATTATCAAACAGTAACAATGGTTGACGTTGACACTATTCAATTTCTGATACCAATAATGGCACTCCCCAGTTAAGGGCGTAAGTGATGTGAAGGTAATCAGTAGTTTGTAGGCAACCACCTACTTCATTGATTAAAATGAGCGTGATAATATTTGATAACCTAGTTTGGTTTGCAATAAACTCTCTTGGGTGATTGATTAGAACCAAATCAGCTCAAATAAAACCGGTCATGCCTAATTCGACGAACATATCTTCATGTTGGCAGCACATCCGGTTATACCTACCAAAAGTCTGCACCACCTTCATTATTTTAAATAAAATCAAATTTTCCAACTACACTACCTTCAATTGTTTGATGATTTTTGCTATGGAAGAAGTAATTTTGGCCGCCATTTGTTGTTGTAAGAAATTTATATTACAATAATCTAAATTTAACAGAAAACTATATGACAAAGAAAAAAAATTAATATTCTCGAACACTTTAAAATAGATTTTCATAAATCAAAAGATCATTCGGATAAGGTCTGAACTGACTTATTAAGTTGTTTAAAAAGTAATTTCCAATACCACAAAATTCATAATTGTTCTTTCATACTCATACAAGGGAAATATATTTATACAGCTTACAATACGGAATTTTACAAACGAAAACGAGAAGAGGCCATTTTTAAAGGCGACATAACGATTATAATAATCTGGTTGTATGAATGGTTCAACATTGATAAATTTGTTTCTTCGTTTGCCAATCACATAAAAAGAATGCATTGAAGTTTTAAATGGTTATACTCTCAAAGCCATAGTAATTTACAATTAATTTTATTCACAATCGATGTATTATTATGTCATTATAATTTTACAACTTTCAGAGGCCAATAAAGTATTAATGGTTAACAGTAATTGTTCATAAAACGCGAAAATAAAGAAAATGCATAGGTACTTACCTAGACTACTCTTTACGCATTTACATTAATAAATATTTACATTAAGATAAATAATATTATTGTCCTTATTTTCTTTCTTTTGAAAATTAACCCTAAATCCAGGTCACAGCCGTAACATTATTTCAAGCGTAGACGTAACGATTTGTCATTGGTCATTGTGAACAGGTTATTAATATTGGTGACGCCAAGATCTAGGGAATTCTGATTACCAGTACCAATTGTGCAATGTATCTCATACATTATCAGTTTACAGATATTTTAGCTCATTACATCGGCAAATAACAGCTATGCCAAATAGATACAATATCAATGGAATTTGACGCAACAAATTATGCATTATCATTTTAAAAAAAGCCAGCGAAGACGTCTTCAGTAATTAGCTCAGTTTTCCTCTCTTGTCATCAAAGTCGAACAAATGTCTTTCTCATGCATCCTTACTTTACCGGGATTAATGAAATGTTACTGCCTGAGCTTCTTCAAAGATTTCTGATGACATGAACTCTTCTTCCATTTTTCAAAAATGAGTTTATTAGTCTCATTAAGACCCACACACAAATATGAAGTCAATAAATAATATACAGGCATATAAATAAACAATTCACCATAGCGACTAAACTGCGACCATGCAAATTCAGAACTATTAGCTTTTTAGCGGTAGCAATTTTTAACTAAGTATATGAATTTCGCTAGAATGTTTAGATGCTGCAAAATCATATAAACTTGCATCTGAATTTAAGATTGGTGCCACAACTTCATTTGGAATTTCTCTTTTTCTGAAATCGTTCGGAAATGTGTACTTTTTTGGGCCAATTTCACTTCACTCCAAAATACCGTATTCTAGTATTTTAGTTAACTTTCCCGTACCGCTTTTTTTTATCTATTTTTTATATAATAGATACTCGTATATACACGCAGGCAAACCAACTCACATCAAAAATGCATTATTTAGTAAATATAACATTTATTGAACGTATTCCATATACAGGGTGTCCCATTTTAATGTCCCACCCCAAATATCTCGAATCCCGAGCAGAATGAGGAAAAATGTTTTACACAAAAGTTATAGGGTTCGGAGGGGGACATACGATGGTGACCTTGAAAATGACCTTGAAGTCGATTTTCAAGGTCAAACGAGGGTCAACTTCGATTTTTCACATGAAAACTCCTATTTTTTATTGCAGGATCGTATTATACGGAAAAAAATACAAATTTTTTGCAGGAAACGTTTTTTTCGAAAATGCATTTTTTCCGAGTTTTTCACGAATTTCGTTCGTCATGTTGTTTGAAGTGTCAGATGGATCCTACTGACCACTAGGACAGACTGGGGTATTGTTTCACCAGAAACACTAGTACTCGATACAACGGTGGTTGTGTAACTAATCCGGAACAGCGAAATTTCAACTCTACGAATTAACACACATAAGGATCGTCTGGACAAAGTGAAGAGGGGGCGCGTGTGTTTCTCTGTTACTTTGAAAGCTGTAAACAATTTTCACCTGATAAAATCAAAGGTGTGAGAGGAACAGTTCAAGACAAGGATAAAATTGCTGCCAAAAAATTGAGGGGAACGCACGCCCCCGTTCCTCTCCTCAGAGAACTCTAGCAGTCTCATGTGTGTTGATTTGATTTGTCAAGTTTGTGTTATTTTCTGTTTTTCTCTTTTCCGGCAGCAGCGCGATCGGTAGGGGCAGATGGGGTAGCGAGCCTCTCCTGCCGCAGCTCCCTGCTCATGTAAACTTCAAGCGTCTTCGAACATGCGGTAGGGGCCCGGGAGTTGCGCGATGGCACGTTCTCGCCCGGTCTCTTCGCTCTCCCGGTAATGCTGATTATTGAATCGTACCAAAAAATTTAAAAATTTGATAATTTGATAAGTTCCGTTGCCCTGCTCTCGAGCATTGAAGACTCAGGCAGCGAGTAATGCATGAATCCCAGCCAGGATCCACCTGACACTTCAAACAACATGACGAACGAAATTCGTGAAAAACTCGGAAAAAAATGCATTTTCGAAAAAAGTTTCCTGCAAAAAGTTTGTATTTTTTTCCGTAGAATACGATCCTGCAATAAAAAATAGGAGTTTTCATTTAAAAAATCGAAGTTGACCCTCGTTTGACCTTGAAAATCGACTTCAAGGTCACCATCGTATGTCCCCCTCCGAACCCTATAACTTTTGTCTAAAACATTTTTCCTCATTCTGCTCGGGTTTCGAGATATTTGGGGTGGGACATTAAAATGGGACACCCTGTATTATAACTATTTGTTTATATTTTTAGTAACATTGGCTGAACTTTACTCGAAAAGTCGGCGACGTTATTGCTGTTCTTTTTCGACATTATTATTATTAGCAAATTTCTCTAAATATTTTATCTGTCATGTCTAGTTTATTTGTAAAAGATTTCTCTCTGTAGGCAAAGTATTTTTAATGCATCTGACCCAGTATTAACCAAGGGGGTCGCAGAGGATCGACGGAAACAATATCCTGTGTATTTATCTGCATTTGGCAAATAAAATTTTTGAGGTATTTTACCAAACTGATGTATTCCTACTACACTGAAAAAAAAAAAAATAATTGGAACAAATTAGCAGATAATTTTAAATGGAATTATTTTTCGTAAATGTTACTATTATTTCTTCAAACTATATGAAATATTTGCTGTAATCTATAATTTTTCTTAGAGTTTCTATTATTTGTAAATATATATAATTTAATTCAAATCTTTTATAGTTTTGAAATTTATTACCTCGGACTTTAGCTACAATATTTCTTATAGTTCATCATAAACTGCAAATATATTTGTTTCGAAACTACCATTCCCTTAAAATATATAATATGTATATTTAAAATTTAGTATTAATGTAGGAATTATTCGAGACAGATGTAGCATATTATAATCAAACTTATGTTTTCTTGAAAGAAAATTGTAGCAGGTCACAGAATGGCGTAGGTGGGAAGTAGCACCATAGATGGAGCCACTTACGCTCTATCTATACATATCTCCTTGTGAGTAACTAAAGCAGCTGGATCGTTTTAATGACATAATGATGAGGACCATCAATAAGTCCCAAACCGACCTATGTCTGGTCGGATAAACTTACGAACCATCCTGTCTGTTGTACTAGGAGTTTTGTGAGTTTGAAACAATTTTTTTTTATTACTAGTGATGGGAATAACGGCTCGAAATCGATAACGTTATAACTTGGAACGTTGTAAAAGAATAATGTTCTAAAATAACGTTATTTTGGAACGAGGTTACTTCTGGAAGTTTGACACCGAGTGCGTTCTGCGACATCGTGGCTGATTTGAATGGACTATGATGTGTAATGTAACAATAGTAACTATGTAAGTTTTATTATTTGGATGCGTTGACAACCGATATTCTTTTTGCCAAAATATTTGGAACTTCTATTTGTACTCATATTTTTTGTTTTCCTTTGCTTCTTTAGTATAAAGTTTATTTTTATAATATTCATTGTATTAATACAATATGTATAAATAGCAATCTGCAGTTTTCACCTTCATAAATAAAATTAATGTCTACATAGCCATTATATTATTATTTTCTACATTCCAAGTTGGTCACGTTCCGGAACGTTCCAATAAAATAACGTTCCAAAATAACGTTATTGGAATAACTACCCATCACTATTTATTACTGAGAAATATTTATATCCAAATATATTATTAAAATAAGTATACACACTTATTTGACCAAAACTATTTAATTTTGTATTAAACAAACGATACATCAATATACAATACAAAACATGTTTCTATAAAATTTATGTAAATCATAAAATTAAGAATAGAATTTGTTTTCTATATAGTTGCAAAAAAGTTTCGTTGATCACAAATGATCTTGATTTTTTCGTTCCATTATCCGATATTTCAATCAAAAGTTTTGATCCTATATCATCTATATCATTTAAATTTAATTCATATAGTTCGTTACGGCGACATGCATCGGCAACACCAAATATTAAGGCATTCTAAAAAGGAAAAACTGATATTCCATATTTAAAAATTTTCACATCTGAATGTACCTTATTCGTATATACCATATATCTGGTGCTTGAGTAAGAAAACCTTTCAAGTTGATAATTTGACAAAACGTATGACTTCTTTGAGTTATAGTTGTCACCTTGACGTTTCAAGAAAACAGGTAATTTCAAATATTTTGATTTGTACTGTGTTGCTCTTGGAGTAATTTGACCATAACTTAGATGCCTTTAACTTTGTAGATAAAACAGAAAAGTATGCAATCATAACATTTTCGGATCGGGAAGTCACATTTTTTTTTTTCAAGGAAATAAGTTTTGAAGCATTTATAAGCGAATTCGTACTTCCCCTAGATTTGTTTAATTTAAAGTCACTTTTTTTGTAGCTGCTACTAACTCTGATTGTGCCCCGGACACCTGAACATCATCACCACTGTCCATTTTAAATATGTTTTAATATATTTTAGCACTTTATAGATACTAAGGAGGTTTGGAATTGACAAACAAATATTCATAAAAAAATTAAAATAAGCTTATTAATATGAAGAAAATCCTCAAACAAAATTATGACTAGTTTGGATACCCAGTAGTAGTAGTAAAGGGACGGCCTCAGCCTGGCAATTAGGCCACAAGTGGGCCCTTTTTGCCTACCCCGCCGTCCCATCACCTAACCACTCTCTGCCTCTGACCCTCCTCGAACCTACCCGACGCCCTAATGAACGCCAGGATTTTGGTCCATGGAAGGTCTCTCACCTCAACCTCTTGCAGCTGTTCAGCACCAAAGACTTTGTGTCTTATTCTCCCAAAGGCTGCACACTGTCCCAGAAGGTGGACAGGGATGTCCTCCACTTCACCACATTTCGGGCATAGAGGGTCCTCCTCAATTCCTATTAAGCTTAAATGCCTCCTAAGTCTCAGGGCTCAGCAGCCATCTTGTCTTGGATTTGCTAAGTCCATGTATAAAACTATGGGCCTGCCTGCATCCTCTATTTCTCCTCCAATCCTGACCTAAAGTTTGATAGGCCCACTTATTGAGGGGCCCATTAATGCTGCCTCGTGTGATACCTAAGATTGGTTCAGGTCCCTGTCCAGGTCCCCTGGACCCAAGACCAGCTAATTGATCCGCCCTCCCGTTACCAGGGATGCCCCTATGGCCTGGGACCCAAATCAACTCTACTTCTTTTCGTCTGGCCAATGACTCTAGAGCGTCTCCACATTCTTAGACAAGGGCAGACCTAGTCCTCGGGGAGCTAACCGCTCTGAACGCAGCCTGACTGTCGGAGCAGATAAAAATCTTCTCCTCTGCACAATTCCCTACCTCCTCCTTGCTTGCTACCATCAAAATAGCAAAAACTTCTGCCTGGAAGACTGTAGCATACATACCCAGTGAAAAGCTTTCCTGGATCCCGCTACCTTCCAGACAAATTCCTGCTCCTGAAAACTCGTCTTCTACCCGAGATCCATCAGTATACACATAGGGATCCCGGGGAGAACATATCACCATCCTGCTTCCACTGCTCTCTCGAGGGGAAAGTGGATACCTAAGAGACGAGATATTAATAAAATAATTTTTCACGATTTAGTACAGTCTTATGAGAATGCAGATTTTTTTGGTCTTTCCACTTAGAATGTGCAGCAATTGACGAATAGTTTCCACAGCAACTTGTATAAATAGGAAACCGATATCTAAGGAACCGTATGACAGCTTGTAGAAATCGATTAGGTACTTGTAAGATACATAATTTATAATAATTCTCCCTCAAACTGCTGCAGTTGACTAACTTATCCTCCATATGCGTGATAGCGGCAACGCCGCGGTCTTGACGTGCGTATTATTTGAAATTTGCAGGTATCCAAGCAAACAGAATGATCGAACGCGAGCGAGCGAACGCCGAGGCGAGCGAACCAGCCCAGTGCAACGTTGACAAATCTAAAGGCTTACTACTTTAGTCACTAGCGAATCTACAGAAACTGTCGTTAGACTTTAGATGTACCTCCGTACCCGATAAACTTCCTTAAAACGAATTTGACTTTTATCACAACAATAAATAAACAATGATTCAAGGAATTTCCATTGTCCGGGAATGTTTTGCGTTTACTATTAGGTACACAATATACTATTGTTTTTAATGGTTAAAACAGAATTTTATGGTTGCAAAGTTTGGAAATATTCAGTCCGTGTTAACCGACTTATTCGTTTATCCGATAATTGGTCCATCCCGTTCAGTTTTAGATAATCGACGCTCTAGTGTATAAACTTAATTTTTTCGTTGTCCTGTAGAATGTAGATAAAGACACTCAAGGAAACTTAAACACTTGACCTACGCTTCCGTATATAACTCTTTTCTTTGAAGTTCGTATGCGTAATAAGACACTTATTCAATAAAATTACTATTAGAAAGATAGGCAAGCATACGCTGACTTGATCTCTCGTGCCTGTGATCTCTGGGCATTGATCATTAATCAATGCCCAGTGTAATCATTATTACACGTCAGAATACCGAAAAATTCGGTTATGATAAGGCGGATACAGATTTAGCAAACATTGTTCACACAATGCGTATGAGTTGCCGAACAGTTGGGCGCCTGTTATCGAACTTTTCATCATGTAGGCTACTTCAAAGGAAATATAGCTCAACATGCGTGAACAATGCTGTCAGCGTGTCTGACAATCAGTTGTAACTGTTGCACAACTGTTATTCAATAATGTTTGCTCAGTCTGTCCTCGTCTACAGATTTAATGTAAACATTTTAAACTTTTATAATATTCAATTTTCTTCAGCTTTGAACAAACTGGATATAATTATTATACCTCTCTTTTCAGGATCTGAAAGATACCCTTATAGAATTATTCTCGTCTCTCTTCACCAAAGAAGAAATGGAAGCATGGAAAAAGGCATTAGACGTGGCAATTGAATTGATTGCGAAATCATTTAGGGAAAGTCGCAAGTAAATGTAGCGACACTACATTATAGTCCTTAGTTTTAACATTCATGTTATTTGTAGTTATAAGTCAAGTTTTATTACTTACGACTTCATGAAGATATTTGTTGTGATCTTATTTAAGACTTAGATACTGTATTATTTGTATCTATAAGTTTTATTTAATAAAATAATGAATAATTAGTTATATCTTTAAATAATAACCTGGAGAATTTCTAAGTTTTATTCCTCTCTCAAGTAATTAATGATAGAAAAATCAAAATCCTGTCAGTAACAACAAAATATTCCGTCTAGTATTCTTTTTTCAAATATTTTATTTTTGAACTACTGTTAAAGATCAGGAAGCTATACAGGGTGTTTTAGAAACGAGTACATTCTGTGGAAAAGTGATAAATACAAAAATAGTGTACAGAAGGAATAAGTAACATTTTTTCAAAATGGTCCTCTATTACACTTAAACCTAAACCATTCTGTTAAGGGCACATCATCAAATATAAATTTACAAAAAATTTAAATATAAATAAGTTCATCAGCAATCATAAATTATTTTGATAGGTAAATAATGTCACAAAGGTGGAATGGCATTATAATTGATTTGGAATATACAGTGTGTTTCCTAAATAATCTAATGACTTGAACTTTAACCACGAAATTTCAAGAATCCGTAAAGACACTTCGCTATAAAAAGATATTGGAACGATATTTTGTGTATACCTATGTATAAAATGCAACGTGAAAAAAGCCTCAACTCAATTTGGTCTGGTCCAGATATAAGATTTACTATTGACTTTTTTCTAGAAATTTGTGACACGTCACTGGAAAAAGAATGTTGTTTATCCTTTCTTAAATGCAAATTTTACATTGATATGATAGATATACATATACAAATTCGCAATTTGTAAAATTTTAGATAATTTAGGTAAATGTAGAATTTAGATATTTGAATAATACCATATCTATATCAGTTAAATTTTTTCAAATTGAATTCGATTTTATTTATGTACTGAGCACGTAAAATTTTGTTTCAGTACCTCCGTTTGATCAAAAAATAAGTATAATACTTTTTAGGAAACTTTAACACTCTGTATCTCAAAAATGGGAGAGTTTCAGCAACAATTTTATATAGCGAAGTCTCATTTTTGCCTCCTTTCTTGATTAAAATTCAGGACATCCTGTATTGATGGCATTGTAAAAAGAAAACATATATACCATAGGTACGTTCTAAAACGTTACATTTCTAATACAAACATTATCCAATTAATAGTAATAACACAGCCACACAAAAAAAAGTCCAAACCCAAGAGACCCACATACTATTTCCGAAGGAATTCAATACGCTGAACACGATCCTGTAGTCAATATTCTTGGTTAGTCGATGAATTTCGGAGAAAAGTGAACTTTTTTTTAGTGAAAACGGCCAAATATGGGTCAAAATTCATTTTTTCCTAAATTTTGTCCAAATATACAGGGTGGTCCACAACTAATGGTACATAGTGCAACGGCGAATTTCTGCCATCAAAATATTACGATCTAACCAAATTGTCCTATTCCGAAAGTTGATATTAAGAAAGATACAGGGTGTCAAATTTGAAATTTTGTTATCGACTTTTCCCAACTGCTCCTAAACAAAACGACACAACGCCACAAAAATTGGTATCGGAAGGTTTTTTAATACGAGAAATCTAAATTTTTCACTAATTTTGATCCCACTGATAGAGGGCGCCATCTACAGCATATTGAGCACATTTAAAATAGCAGAACTTTTTTTCGCTCGGTATATCAATTTGACTATTACGGAAATCGATTCTCCTAAATTTTGTACACAAAAAAGTTATACTTATTTGATATCGCTAGAGGTAATCGTTACCGAGATAATCGCATTTGAATTTGCCAATGCAACCTTATCCGTGTGGTTAATGAATGCCTAGTAGTACCCATTTAACTATTTAACTTATTCAGTAATCTGATTTTAATTCAGTAAAAATTTTTATTGGTGATTAATGAAGAATAAAAGCTAGAAGCACATATTAAATTAGACAAATAAAACAAGTTGAACATATTTATTTAAATAAAAATAAAATTAGACAAATATGCAAAAATGTCCCTAGAAATAATAAAGAATAACATTAATATTATTAATGATTGAAAAATATAGTTAAAAGATTAATAAAAAAAAAGATCGCCTTTCCTTAAGTAATGTCCATTTACCTCGATGCATTTGGTAACACGTTTGTTCATTGATCGTCTGATTTTAAAATACAAATTGTCATTTCGAAAAGATTCCGAAGCATTTCTNGTGTGTGTGTGTATGTGTATTTGCATAAAGACAGTCTTAATAAGAGGACTAGATAATTAAAGTTCTTGTATTTGTGAATTATAAAGTGAGTTATCATTGAATATCTTAGCGTTCTTACTATTTGTTCATTGACTGTTCTGTACTGTTTAAATGAATCATTTACGGAAATGAGTAACAATGTCTTTCTGACGACGCCTCCCTTCGTTTTGTTGTAAGTTGTTATGAAGGACTCTTAGCTGCTGTGATATGGTCTAGTTCTGGGGCATGGGGTATCCTAGGGCTGTTAGTTGTGTTTGAAAGTTCGACCATTAACTAGGGGAATGCGTTTGGTGACGAACTATCTTAGTGCTGCGGTGATTCAGCCAATTATGGTTGTGCAGAGATGGACTGGTTGGTTCGCATTGTTGGACTAATGAATAGTTGAATGATTTCACAATATTAGCAAAAGATGTTTTGGGTAGAGCCAGCTGTAGCAATTTGAGAAAAGTATATATAAACAGTAGCAACTGATTTAAGTTGAAAATGTTTTGCTTAAGATGGGGGTATACTTTAGTACTCATCTGCTTTTCTTTTTATTTTTGAAAAAGGGCCTGAGCTTATCTTAAGACGTGAATACCAGTGGTCAAACCTGAGACAACTAGACCAAGCATAAAAAGTGTTTTTTTTTATTTAAAATTAATATAGTTATCTTCAGTTGTTCGCGCCCGGTATACCTATACCTAACAAGAGAAAATTTATTTCAAATATAAAATAATAATAATTCAAACTTAATAGCTACAAGGAAGATTTAAACTAATATGGTTTAAGGCTGAACGCGATTAATATGTGTTCAAATATGTTATACATGACTAAACAGATTTGTTTTTGACTTTTACAGAACCTTATGCCCCCTGCAGTTGCTCAACTTTGTTAAAAAATCGAGTGACTTAATTGCTACTTGATCTAAAAATAGATGTTTATCGAGCGATAACTCTTGACACTCCAAATAAATAGCGCTATTGTATTAGAACTTCAGTTGGCGTACAATGGCTGAGAAAGACGTTCCAGATCCCGTGACCGGGTTGACTTCCAAAGATATAGCTTTGATCAAGAATTCATGGGCCGGACCAAGGCAGAAACCCACGGATAGTGGCATAGCACTTTTTAATGTGTAAGTACAGAAACATTGTTTAAGTCATTCAATTCAATCAGAGACGATGTCAAAGTGGTTACTTAGTCTATGTTCAAGTTATATACGTTTTATATGATCTAACGAATTAAGATAATAGTGACACAGACGCTGCATTGATAAACAGCGTTTTCGTTCTAAACTTTTAAATTATTAACCAGTTCAGAAATGTTTAATTTCATTATCGTATATTTGTATTAAAGTTTAACATATAAAAATTTACAAATAATGATGCTTAAGTATATGAAAAAAAACTTATTTTTTTCAAACTGTTTATTTTGTTTAAATAAATATTTCTTAGTCTCACTTGAATAAACTGATACGAATTTTAGTTCAACGATATTTTAAATTCGTAAATTCTTCAACTTGAGACATTTCTAGTACAAATTTGCGCATTTTCTTTTCCACAATATCGATGTTTCTCTTTTACTTGAAAGAAGTTTTCTAATTTTTAATAAATCGATAGCAGTTCTAGGTGGAATTTTGTGTCGTGTTTTTTTAATGATCATTCAGTCTATTTACGTAGTACAAACATCAATTGTTGTATGTCATGAAATATAATTAACTTGTATGATGAGTTCTCTAATGATGTCTTTATAGCATGCAAAGAGAAATTAAATAGCTCTAGTTGCTGAAAATCTTTAAGTTATTTACCTTTAATAACACCGTGAATCAACTAAAATCTATTTCTTTTTTCGACTATTCCTTTTTTATATGGTTCGAAAATAGGTTCTCCCTCTTGGAAGAGGATGAAGAGAACCTTTCTAATGTGAGTTACAGTTGCGTCTTGCATTTTTTCTTCGTCACTTGCAAATACTTGGGACATGTTATGTAATATTTTTATTGTCTCAAATAAGTACCATCGTATCTCAATCATAATGACACGAGAATTTATACGTATGTTTCTAAACGCTTATCGCTATATTTAAAGTACAGACACAAGATAGTCCAAGAAACAATTTTTTAATCAGTAGAGAAATAATTACAATATCCAGTTGTAGAAATTTGCGGATTCAGACAGTCTATTGACGGCATCCATGTATCAATTAATTTTTATTCAAAAGTTACCAGATATTGACTTTGTACTAGAAAATATAAAAAGTATTTCTGTTTACTTGTATACCTTCAGAAAATTTCAAATAGATTATCAGAATGATGTTAAATTTGATATCCAAGGGTAAAGGGACATGGTCAGTTTTAAGAAAGCTATTCCATTTTTTCAAGTTTAAAAGATATAACAAGAAACTTATTTACTACTTTTCATAATAAAACACCCCATATATTTGTATTTATTTGAATACAATTTCCAATAAAAAAATAAAATTTGTTATATCTGAAATGTGGTAAACTAACTAATAATATATGTAATTTCATCATCAGATCAGCAATAACTTTTTTACCCACATCCTACCTTACAACTATCATTTTTGGAATTTAAAAGATACCATCCCTCCCTCTTTCAGATTTTTCAAGAACCATCCGGAGTATCAAGAAGCGTTCCCCTTCAGAGGTATTCCTATAGCAGATTTGCCCAAAAACAAGAGATTCTTGGCTCACGCCAATGGCGTAATTTATGGATTTTCTTCAATAGTAGATGCTGTGGATGATCCAGAGATGCTAGTTCCGATCCTGTCCAGAATTGGAGAATCTCACGCACCAAGACGTATCGACGAAAAGTCTTTCCAAGTAAGTTCCCTTTTATTTGCATCGTGTCGCAGAAATATGTATCGAGATTAACTATGCATTTAACTCATCAGAATAAACAATTTACCTACGACCACTACTGTAAATACTTAAAAACGCACCGCCTGCGATCAATGTAAGATTCCTATTACGTACGGTAAAAAAAATCGCACAGTTTTCCTAGCAACCGCCTAGCAACGGTCAATACAATACTGTTTGTATTCACAGTTGCTAGGCGGTTGCAAGGAAAACTGTACGATTGTTTTACGAAGCTGTGCGATTTTTTTACCGTACGACGTAATAGGAATCTTGCATTGTTCGCAGACGGCGTGTTTTTAAGTATTTAAAGTAGTGGTCGTAGGTAAAGTATAGTACGTAATACGTGGTGTAATACAATTACGCACTCATAGAATTACGCACTCGCCGCTACGCGGCGTCGTGCGTAACTTTTCCATTCGTGCGTAAAATGCTTTTTACAACACTTATTACGTAATATACTGTTCCCATTCCCATTCGTGCGTAAAATGCTTTTTACAACACTTATTACGTAATATACTATTTTTTTCTAATATCATATTTCGAAGGTTTTTTAGTTTTTAAGATAATACAATTTCTTAAAATGTTACATTTGTGTACCCGCCACTGAATCATAACTGAAAACACTTGTTGAGTTATTAATTTTAAACAAAAAATAAAAGAATTAGGTTATTAAAAGATTTTATCCACGACTATTGTATAATGTACCCATTATACGTCTGTTTGCTCGTCCTTAATAATACCCATTAATCACGGCAGTGAANTAATTCTTCACGAGTATGCACTGTATCTTGGTATACCAGCGATTTTAAGTAACCCCACACACAAAAATCGAGGGGGTTAAAATCTGGGCTCCTCGCTGGCCAAGGTGTTTGGCTTCCACGACTAATCCAACAATCAGGTAATTGATGGTTTAAGTAATTTCTAACATGTACTGAAAAATGTGCTGGAGCTCCATCCTGCATGAAGTACATATTTTGTCGTAGATTCAGTGGCAAATTATCCAAGAAATGCACAAAATCAGTTCGTAGAAAATTTAAATACGATTGACCATTTAAATTTGGCGGTAACTCATATGGTCCCAAAAAATAATGATCGATTACGAGTATTCCACACCAAACATTTATTTTAAATTCATGTTGAAAGTGTCGTTCGGTTATTAAATGTGGATTTTCTATGTCCCACACTTGTTTATTTCTAAAATTAACGACGAGTAAATGTCGCTTCGTCTGTGAGCAGAATCTTACTTACAAACGTAGGATCGACGTTTTGCTCGGTTTGAAAGAATCGTGCAAACTCTAGCCGAGCTGGAAAATCGGGATCAAGAAGATTCTGGACCGGAGTAAAATGATAAGGGTACAACTTTTCTTTCTGGAAAATTCTTAAAACCGATGACTTGCTCACTCCCGCCAAGAGAGCCGTTTGTCTTGAACTTATTTCTCCGTTTTCTGCAACACGGCCCAAATTTCCTCTTCCTGCTCTGGAGTAATAGTTCTGTGACGACCTGCAATATCCCGTTTAGGTCGAAATGAGCCAGTTTCTCCTAATCTGTTGTAAATATTCTTAAATATTTTGAAATCTGGCTGCCTTCTGTTCGGATACATCGCCAAATAACGGCGATGAGCCCTACGTCCATTAAAATTTTCCTGCGCGTATACGCATACCATATCTCTCATTTCAATATTAGAGAAAAAGTTATGTCTGGGCATTTTTACCTTAAAAATTAAAAAAAAAATTAGAAAACTTTCAGAATGTTGCACACAACGCGATGCAATGTTTGACAGAAGCTAAATATAAAAGCGTTATTAATTACTTTAATTTTAATCATAGCCTACTTTCAAAAAAATTAATATATTTCCATTAGAACCTGCACATGTTTCAAAATTAGTGCAAAATTTAAATTTCTCGTATTAAAAAACCTTCCGATACCAATTTTTGTGGTGTTGTGTCATTTTGTTTAGGAGCAGTTGGGAAAAGTCGATAATAAAATTTCAACTTTGACACCCTGTATCTTTCTTAATATCAACTTTCGGAATAGGACAATTTGGTTAGATCGTAATATTTTGATGTCAGGAATTCGCCGTTGCACTATGTACCATTAGTTGTGGACTGTATAATTTTCATAGTATTTTGAGGCGTTAAATACGATAAGTACCATTGATGTTTATCTCTAACCTCGATATTTATCAGAAAATCCACTATTTAGGTGAAAACTGGCCTAAAAATTGGTCAAAACTGATTTTTTCTCAAATTTTGATTCTCATAAATATCTAGGTCACGAGTAAATTTTACCAATGGCATCGTGTTCAGCGCCTCAAATACTACGAAAATGATATACAGGGTGCGGCAATGAAATTTGTTGATTTGAACAGGACGCAGTGAAGGGAGGGGAGGTAAGTCATGAGTGGGGATAGTCTCATGCGACGACACGGCTTGGGAAGTTTCTTCATCTTTATTATAAGCAGCATCAGTAGTGAATTGGCCGAAGGAGCAACGCGCGTTTGTCTTAGTGACCTACTTTTCTAACGGCTAATCGATCATTGCCGCGTAACGTTCATTTTGTGCACATTTCAATATTCCCCCCCGAAGACCCGTTCCTGGCCGACACTCGATAAGATATTACCAAGGCCCGTGAGAACACCACAAAATATCGAAGCAGTAAGAGAGTCAGCTTTGCGATCTCCTCGGCGCTCGGCATGGAAACATGAAGCTGCCCTTCGACTTTCGGATCGTTCTGTAAGGCGAATTCTTTATGATGACCTCCATTTCCACCCATACAAGTTGGCTGTAGCGCAAGAACTCACTGAACGCGATTTTGTCGCTCGGCGAAATGCATGTGAAGCATTGCGTGAAAATTTGCCTGTCGACGCACTTGTGTTCTTCAGAGATGATGTACATTTTCATCTGTCTGGGTCCGTGAATAGACAAAATATGCAATACTGGAGTAATAACAATCCGAGTGAACTTCATGAGAGGCCTCTTCATTCAGAACGTGTAACTGATGGTGTGCCTTGTCGAGAGAAAGGATTATTGGTCCTTACTTTTTTGAAGAAAACGAGCGTGCGGTTGCAGTAAATTCTGAACGATATGTTAACTTGATTAAGAACTTTCTTCTGCCCAATTTGGGAGAAATTGACGTTAGAATATGGTTTCAGCAAGATGGAGCTACACCGCGATGTGTAATGGGTGTTTTGCAGGAAAACTTCCCCAGGCGTCTAATTTCTTTGAGAGGCGATCTTCCTTGGCCGGCACGTTCGCCTGATATAGCCCCTTGCGACTTCTTTTTATGGGGTTATCTGAAATCCATTGTTTAGACCCCACTTAAAGGAGAACATTCGACAAGCAATAGCTGGCATACCCGCCGCAATGTTAAAATAGTACATTGTGTAACGAGTGGGGAAAAGTTGCCAATAGCGCCACGAGGACGCAGTTGACGCACGAGCGAAGCGAGTGCGGAAAGCGCCCAAGTGGCGCTNTCAAAAAAAACTTCAACAAAAATATTTAGTAGTCGTGGATAAAGTATAGTATTCTACTCGCGTATAATGGGTATTATTCACTCGGTGATTTAGGCCACTCGCCTGCGGCTCGTGGCCGTAAACTTCACCTAGTGAATAATACCCATCATTATACGCTCGTTGAATAATATACTATTAAGAAAACGAATTTATTCCATATGCAGCTCTAGCGTTATTTTAAGGGATGAATTTTAGAAAAACGAATTACTAGAAAAGGGATGTTGTTAAACACGTGGTTAAAACTTTAACAATCGTTTCTACTCTTGTGTTTTCTATTTTTATTTTAAATTTATTTATTTTTTAAATACTTTTGTTGTTTTATTATAAACTTCTTCAACGAATTTAAAACTAGACATATTTTTTTATTCAAACAACTTTATTTATATAGTTACCACTAAAACATATCTGAATTTAAATAAAACTCACTGGTTTCTTCGTGCAACTACTTTTTTTGGCACCAGTTTCAATTGGTCACTGCTCTTTTCTTTTCCAAGAAATACATAAAATTTGTCAAAATAAAATACTAAATCCATATTATGTGCAAATAATCGTCCACTTGAAATACTTAAATGGTCCTGCATTTACCTACTTAAATCTGATGAAGACCAAAATGAAACGTATCAAGAATAAACTGGCAATATTGTTTACTCACTGCACCTATTTGTTGCTTCAAGGTTTCAGTTACGACAAACAAACGTGTTGATCATTCTTCATCGTGAACATCAGATGTTCTTTCTTTCGACATAGACACTATCTTCTTTCCGAAGATTCCATCTCGTCGTTTCGATAACGGCGGTGTTTTTAAATAAAATTTCGCAGGGTTTGAAGTTTAGGAACGCGATTATCCTACTTGAGCTTTCATATCAAATGTTGTTTTTGTAAATGCTGTTATCTAAAACTTGATAGGTACTTTACCACATTAACATTTTGACAGCTCATGTTGTTTTGATGTCTTTCTTTCGCAAACTGATATTATAATCTAGACGACCCTCACAAAAATAATAATTAACTACTATATTTTTTAAATTAGATTATAATTATGTACCTACCTATTTAAGTACTTTGTCTTTGTAGGATTTGAAAGAATCTGTGTTGGAACTATTCTCCTCCCTCTTTAATGACGAGGAAGTAGCAGCCTGGAAAAAGGCTCTAGACGTAGCTTTTCCAGTACTCGCGCAAGGATTTAGAGAAAACCGCAAGAAGTAGAAGGGAAAGCATCGTAGACGTATATTTTTTAATTTTAATGTTTTGTTATATTTTTAATAATTTCCTAAAGAATTGATGTGATTTTATTAAGTAAAAGTTTGAACACTATTAGGTAATTGTGTATGTTGCAGCAAAATCTAAAACTAATAAACAGTGTTTGTTGTGTGTTTCACTGAACTTTGATTCCAAGATCTATTTTTGATTGTCTAAATGGATTGGATGAACTTTCAAATTATGCAAATAATACATTTCACCATCTAACTTCAATAATCAAATGGTCAAATTAAAAAAAAAGAAAAATAACCCTATTGACTAATTAGTTGAGAATTTTATTTGTGTGATTACTTTCTACCCTTATAGTATTGATGTAATATAATAATAATATAATATAATTAAGATAATTTATTCGTAACCTGGTCCGGCTTGTTATATTTATTCCAGAAGGAACGAAATGTGAAATATTAGTTTACATACGATTATCATGAAAACTAAATCAAACATAAAGTAGGTCTTTTGGTTTTCGCTAGTATTTTTATACGGGTGTTGTGCACTGTTTAATATTTATTATCTTTTGTTATTAATATTTATTTTAAACAAGGTTTTTATACATACAGTATGTATATACTGAGTATATATCTACATTATTGTTTATATATATTTTTTGTAAAACAATATGTTGTTTTTTGAAGTAGCACTTATTGAGTTCTGCTTTGTTGTATAATTTACTGCTGATAAAGCTGTAGTGCTGATTTGAGTACATACTTTATTACTTCTTAGTATTGCATTTTATTAAAAAATACAAAAACAAAACTTTAAAAGAAGGCGTAGCTTAAGTAGTTATTTTTATTTTTAGAACTCATTATTTTCCTCTTATTTCGTAAAATTCTGTTTTATTAAAAATTTTCTTATTTGTTAATAATATTGTAGCCACACTGAAAGAAATGGGGTTATTAATCTGTTTATCTAGAATAATGTGTATAGCGCATGTTAAAAATTTTTTAACAAATATACAACTTTTAAGTCGCCAGTGCCGCGAAAAACAACTACTCCGAGGGCTATTTGCCCCTACCGGCATTGAATTACATTCGCGACACCCAGTACAACAGCTAGGATCGTTCATCAGCTGGTTCCACCAGGCACAGACNCGAGTGCGGAAAGCGCCCAAGTGGCGCTATGGCAACTTTTCCGAACGAGTTGCACATACTATTTTCTATCACAAGTGCGAGTCGTTATGGGACCTATAGTGTAGGGGGTTAGGTGCACTGGAAAGTGCTAGATAGTACAACAGCGTGATGTTATTTTCATAGCGCAACGCTGGAGCGTTGCGCTATGAAAATAACATCACGCTGTTGTACTATCTAGCACTTTCCAGTGCACCTAACCCCCTACACTATAGGTCCCATAGCGAGCTCGCGTGATAGAAGAGTTTATCAGAACTTCACAAATCGGCTAATTCAGTGTATTGATAATGAGGAGCGACACTCGCCTGATGTTATTTTTAAAACTGTGTAATTTTAAACTTCCCTTTATGCACAAATATTAAAAAAAATAATTAAAAGCATATCTATATTTTTTATTGTTTTATCCACCTTCCAAATCAGCAAGTTTCGTTGCCGCACCCGTTATTTGGACAAAAGGATTGTGCTCAGCGCATTTATTTACCATAATTCAGTTAATTCAAATACATGATGTCAAAGATACAATAGATATTATACTTATGCATATTTACATACAGGGATGATCAGAAGTACAGACACCGTCAGTCCCGCTTTTCTCGCTCTTGTTTTGTTTTTTCTTTAGGCATCAATTACTTTCTCCAGGTCTGTTATTGAATAGATATTTTCTGATTCCATCCCCCCTTTTTTTTAAACATCGATTTATTTGAAAACAATTTGTGTTTCGTAGATATTTTGAGACCATTTTTTTTAGGCATCAATTATACAAACTCGTAGTCTGTCCCGTTTTTCGAAAGAATCCCGCTTTTTTATTCAAAAAGTTTCAAAATCCCGGTTTGCCCGAAAAAAATCTGGCAACGCTGGTAGATATTCCTCTAAACCCTATATTTTCTAACATATTTATGAGTTTTTTATGGTTCACGAAAATGCAAAGGCATGATTTAGATTTATCCATAGATTCCTGGATATTAGATAACTAATCTGCCATTCCATCCTCAGTCGACTTGCCCTCCGTAAAATCCAAATTGCTTGTTAGACAATATTTTATTTCTTTTTTATTTCTTATTAAATTGACTTCATTTTACTTTTACACAGCATTGTTACAGGCGGGGTAACCCAATTTTAGCTAAGCCAAAAATGCTCGGTATGATAAAAATTAATGCTTACTTTTTAAGGAATAATTTTATTCAACAATAACGAATACACATAATTTTGCAGTGCTAACCTGCATGATCATATCCGTTTTAAGTAAATCTTTTCAAGTGGATTATTTTTTATTTGAATTAAATAATCTTAGAAAACGTCTTTATTGATAGCGGGTCTGTAATTGATTAATAAATACTCGTATATACTTATCTATTTGCTATTTTCATACAACAATATTAAAGTCAATATACTACTATCAAAGAATAGATTGACACAAACGAATTATTTGATTATTGTGATAAACACAATTATCATATAAGATTTTATCGATGTACCAAATGAAAGTTTTCATTAAAAGAAATAAAAATATTATTTTAAACATATTTTTCTTAAATTATAAGCAAGTAATTGTCGTTAATGAAATACTAGTTTTTGTTAAGAAAAACTGAAATAATATTCCTTCGGTACCAAGTATTCTCACTTATTTTTTTTCTTTTCTGGTTAGAGAGATTGATATAGAAGTCAAATGGAGGACATGCAAAATGCACTTAAAATACTTTTTTGTTAATGTAATAATTGTAATAATAATAATAATAAATAATAATAAATAATAATAAATAATAATAATAATAATAATAATAATGCTTTATTGCCCAACAATCAAGACCAATAATAGGACAATTACATATAGACCAATAGGTAAAGTAATAATGACTAATAAATAGAAAAAAAAACAAAGGGAATAACTTATATAACTAACTAACAGAAATTTTCATCTACAGTACCTGAAACGATTAATAAAATAGATTTTAAGCTTGTATGATCTATATCACAGAGATGCGACACCATATTAAATAAGTTGCACATATTGTATATAGGTGACTTAAATAAAAGATTAGTTCTTCTTCTCAAGCAACAAAAAGTATCGGTATTTCTAGAATTATGCGTGGGAACATGAAAATTAATTTTACTCAGAAGCTCACCATTTAATAACTTAGAGGAAAGTGAAATTTTCTCCTCAAATCTAAACTTTGAAATCCAAATCTTTCAATCAGTTGCCTATATGGTGTACCTCTTTCAGGATAAGCATTATCTATCTTAAAACATAAATATTTGAGAAATTTCCTTTGCGGTTTTTCAAGTAACTCTCTATAGAATGGATTCCAAACAGTAGAGCAGTATTCTAGTTTATTTCTAACGTACGAAAAATATAAAATAATGAGCGACGCGATATTAGTAAACGATTTACATTTGCGAAGTATAAAACCGTAAGCCTTCATTGCATCATCGACCTTGGACACGATATGACATGAAGAAGATAATTCCTGATCGAAGATCACTCCCAAGTTTTTAATTTTAGTCAAACGATTAATTTCGTTATTAATTAAGTAACTATAACAATAAGGTGATTTCTTCTTTGTAAAGCTAATAATATTAATAAATAAATTATTAATAAATATATTTAAGGAGGTAATGTTTGAAAAATTTTTTAAATCATCAGCATACATTAGTTTCCGACAGTTCAGACTAGTAGTAAGGTCATTAACAAATAACAGAAATAACAGTGGCCCCAAATTTGAACCTTGAGGTACTCCCGCCAAATACTTGACAGAACCGTAACCATTAGAAAAAACATATTGTTGTCCTTCGGATAAATTGTTTTAGTTACAATTCGCATAGTAAATATCATTTCATATAAGATTGCAATCATGGCAGCAATAGTATTCAAAAGGAGATAGAGATAGGTAGAAGATAGAATAAAATATAGACATATTTTGGATCAAGTTTCAATAAAGTAAGTTTCTTTGTTGGAATAAATTGTTGGCAAAGCCCTTATAAGGTCTGTCTCTAAGGAATAAACTGAGACTAATTCTGAATTACTAAACCCAGAAAGAAGTGATAAATATTCGGACAATACAGATCTATTTGTCAGACAGACAATTACAAATTGAATTGAAATCACTGCTTGATGTATGTTTTGACAACCCTTTACTGTTTCCTTTCCGAATCTCATAGGATTTGTTTCTTTCCAAAAACCAGAGTAGGTACATTGTATATTAGGTATTTATCTTTAATAAAGACACTGAAGGAATTGATGAGCCCACTAGCCGAAGTATGATTTTAACATATTCATATTGGTAATGAATGGTTGCGGTCTTCTGTGTTTTTGGTCGAACCCTAATACTATTCTTATATTATAACTGACCTCATTTTTATAAAAGAAGAGTGTAAGTGNCTTAAAGTGGAAGAGTTATAGTGCAAATTCTCATGTAATACAAGAAAATACGGGTGCATCGGTGCTAAGAAAATAAACTGGTCAGTTTTGGGAGCGATTTGTCATCATTTATAATTATTTCAACTAAGGTATGATAAACAGTTTTTAGGTCATTTTGAGTAAGTATATTCTTTAAATATTTTATTATACACATTATTGATCTTAATTTGTTTATTATATACTTTATACGTTCATCCCATTTTAGAAGTGGATCTATTATTATACCTAAGTATTTTACTTTTTTTACAGATTCTATTTGATGTTCTTCTTCAGTGCTTAAGAGTACCTATATTAGAAAATGAGGGTAATGATTTATTTTCACAAGCGAACGGTAAGTAGCAAGTTTTATTTAAATTAATTGTGAGAAGGATATCATCGAACCACTTTTTTATAAGTGTCAAAGCTTTTTCTACAATATTTTTCAAATTAGTCCAAGTATCGGATTTATAAAACAAGGCAGTGTCATCAGCAAAACTAATTATTTCAGCAGTCGAAGGTACATCCACTCCATCGATATTACAACGTGAAAAGTAGTGGTCCTAGTACCGTCCCTTGTGGTACTCCATACTCGACATT